CATGACTAAGCTGTGTCATTCCTCTCATACTTCCTCAAGGCCCGACCTCGATCAGAGGTCTCTGATCAGTGTTTGCCACAGCACTAGCCACAGCAGCTAAGCCATGGAACCAATGTACATGTCCAATAACAGAACCAAGAAAATGTAGCATATATATACACACACACACATACACACACAAGATTGGTTTTTTTAACCAAAGAAGTTACATGGTTTGCAGGAAAATGGGTACAGCTGTAGATACTTATATTAAAGGAATTAAGTCAGTGTCAGAAAGCCAAATACCAAGTATTTTCTCTCATTTGCGGGTCCTACACTTTAGAGATACATGAAAACCATATACATACACAGATACATATATATAACATAAAAGATACACTAAAAGAGGAAAATACGCTCAAAGCACATTATATGCACGCGTACAAACAGCTTCCCATTACACTGCATAACAAAAAAGGTTCAAAAATGTCTTTTTGTTTGTTTTGTTTTTTGTTTGTTTGAATCAGGGTTTCTCAGTAGCCTTGACTGTCCTGGAACTCACTCTGTAGACCAGGCTGGTTTAGAACTCAGAGATCCTCCTGCATCTGCCTCCTAAGTGTTGTGATTAAAGACGTGAACCACCACCTGGCTTAAATTTTTTTTAAGAACAGAAAAAAATACTTAAAACACAACACTCTAATTTAGTCAACACTACCCACAGGTAATCATAAATGTATTTCTCAATATACCAACACTAGAATTTAAAACAGCCCTACTTTCTATTTCTTTATAACTTCTATTCAAATATCACACAGGAGATGCAGACACATTAGACCCTAGGCAGAAAGCCCTCGCTGTCCCCTTTAGTGTCTCTCACAGCATCCTCCTCCACTCCTAACAGCCCAGACCTGCACAGGTACTCAGCTCACACAATAAAGACGGGAGCAGTCCAGGTTTGGGCTCTACACCTCCCCTAAGAAAAGCACACGCTGGGGCTGGTGACAGGGCTCCACGGGGCACTGTGCTTGCGCTACACTTGTTAACTGAGCTCAAGCACCAGGATCCACACAATGGAAGGAGAGAAAATGACTGACCTTCACATGCATGCTTCGAGAACACACACACACACACATGTAAATAAGTAAATAAATGTAAAAATAAAAATCTAAGTGAAGAGGGTTTTAAAGGGCCTTTCCTCTTCTCTCTCTCTCTCTTGTTTGTTTGTTTTCGAGACAGGGTTTCTCTGTGCAGCCTTGGCTGTCCTGGAACTCACTCTGTAGACCAGGCTGGCCTTGAACTCAGAAATCCATCTGCCCCTGCCTCCCAAGTGCTGGGACTAAAGGTGTGCGCCACCACTCCCCAGCCCTTTCCTCTTCTCAATCACTGTAACTTGACAGCCTTGGGCTGCTTCGTACCTTAGCACAGTAATGTGTTTTTTGTTTTTGTTTTTGTTTGCAGAGCTGCTTAAGAGAGAAAGTATAGTTTGTTTCTTCTCCAACAGCAAAGGCAACCAGCCCAGTCTGGTTCATGGCATGCTCAGTAACACTGAACCCATGCAAGCAGCAGAGACAGGCAGATGTGAACCCAAAACCTACTTCTCAAGCAGTTCAGGAAGACAGTAAAAGTAGTGAGTGAATGCAGCTTTCCTTCTAGAACCAACCAAGGCAAGTGAGCAAATCTAACAGAATTCACATAAGTCGGTGGACTTAAAATAACCCTTGGATCCCTCCCTATGAAGGAGTGCCTGAGGTACACAGGCATACATCCCAACATGGCAGTTTTATGTGGGCCAATACAAAGAGTTTTTTTCACACCCCTAGCAAGTACTTTACCACTGAGCTACAGCCCTAGTCCCTTACTCAGGGCCATTCCAAGCCTCTGGATGATGGGAAACTTAAGTGCATTCAATCATGCAAAGGCTTGAGGCTTGCAAACAGTCCTTTCAGTTTTAAGCCCCAGTACCCCTGCTCTGCAAGCAAAACACAAACTTACATAAAAGGACAAGAAAGACAGATGAATTTAGAAACCAGCCTGGGCAACAGAGATATAACCTCAAAACAGAACAAGCAAAGAAACAAAAAACAAAACAAGAAAAGGAAGGAGAGGAAAATGTCTCCCTATATCAATCAAAGTTTAAGGGACCATGCCACTCCAGCCACCTTTAAATGTGTCTAGGCTCACAAGAGCTATCAAACTACACAGAACAGTGACAAAGCTGTCTTACTCCCCACAGAAAGGAGAAAACTGCTTGCTTTACCAAGAACCCTTACCAGAGCATCTCCCTCCTCCTCACGAAGCTGCTCCAGAACTACGAGACAAAGGGCAAGCACTGTATCAGCACACACACACTCACATTCATTCTCGCTCTCTCAGTTTTTGGAGTACAGCCACAAGATTACCAACAAACAGCTAATGGCCACTGTTCAAAAGCAATACTGGCACTATGACTTCATATCCCAGTTATCTACCAAATTGGAGAGACTCGAGTGTATGGGTGTCTCTCCTCAAATAGAATGTGAAAGTGAACGTGAACGCTCTGATTCACCTTCTTCATCATAAACACTCCCAGGAGGACATGAACAACTTGTCAACCGTTCATGGTCTAGGTCTAGGACAAACTAAGACAGTCATCAGGGAGTGCTGTTGCTTAGAGTCCCTGGTTTTGTTTTAATTTGTTAATCCAGTGTTAACAGGCAATAGGATACACTAAGAATATGAACTGCCAGCTCTGCAAGTTTGGGCTTTATGCATTTAAAACAAACAAAAACAGTGTCAGGCATAGCGGGCCTCACCCATAAGCTTGAGTTCTAAGTAGTCCTGAGCTACAGAGACCCTGTCTCCCAAAAAAACAAAAACAACTAAATAAACAAAAAGCACTGGCTGTTCTTCCAGAGGTCCTGAGTTCAATTCCCAGCAACCACATGGTGGCTCACAACCATCTGTAAAGAGATCTGATGCCCTCTTCTGGCCTGCAGATGTACATGCAGGCAGGATGCTGTATACATAATAAATAAATAAATCTTAAAAAAAAAAAAAAACTGGTTCTAAAGAGTTTTTGTACAGGCTGCAAATGTTGCATGCCTGAGTAAACAGCCTCATTATGAGATAGCACAAGTGGATCATCTACTGTACACACTAACCAATGACCAAATGACCTCTGTACCAACGGCACAGTCACTTAGTGGCCAGCATTCCATTCCTTCTCTGAGTTCTACTGCTCTAAGAAGCCAGCAACAGAGGACACTGGAGCTCTACAGCCAGGATTGCTTCTCTTCTGTCCGATTCTCAAAGATTCTCAAAGAGCTTCATGTCACAACAAAGGTTTCTACTCTGGGAGCCACCCTCCACTACTACTGCCTTATGTGAAATTCACTGACAATACTTCTAATGCACAGGGAACGACTGCATCAGCCCATCCATGGGAACTTCAAAGCCAAGCTCCCTGATTTGTAAGTTTCAGAGCCCATTCTCTGGTGTGGGAAATTGTGAAAATTTCCTGAGACTGAAACATCCCATCCAGCAGGGAAGCTCTTTAAACAGGAAAGTAAACAACTCAAAATAGCTACAGGAAGTCCCTAAAACTGACCAGATGCACTAGGCCCTCCCTGGCAAAGTAAGTAATTAAAAGTTCAACCCATCTCAGAGACTCAAGCTGAGCTGTCAAGAAAAGGCTCAAGGAAGAAGCGCTGTAAAAAGACTGACTCCAGACCAGTTGCCTGGGAGAGGTTTAGACCAGAGTCACTTTGAAAAGACACTCTCCAACCTGTTGAGCTGCCTGCAGGCTGTGCAGTGAGCTCCAGGTTTCCCAGCTGTTGTGAGCTGTCACTCATTCTGGGGTGGGACCTGATGACACAGCTGTCTTTGAGTCATTCCTCCTCCTGCAAGTAACCCCTCACCCACATTCCTGTAACTCACTCCAGTAAAACCCACTGGTTCACCAAGTTGAACTTTACAGTGTCCATACTTAAGTCTGTTGGGAGCACCCTATCTGGGCTGAGTAGCCATGTATGTTGGAGCTCCTGGGTGAACAGGGGGATTTTTGTCACACAATACTCCCTCACTTTGAGCACTGAGGGCAAGCGTTAACTATTGACAGGTTCATGAGTCTTTATACTTCTTCCTAAACCATGTTTTCACTTTCTTCCCCCATAAAGAGTACCTCTCAGAGATAGTAAAACAGCTGACAAACCCCAACAATCTAGATTAAGGCTGAGGGAAGAACAGCAAAACAGAGACACAGGCAATACTCAGTAAGTTTTTTCTTTACTTAAATTCACATACTTAGACCACCACCACGCTCACTCCGGGTGACCTGCTCCAGCCAACTGGGTAAAAATCAGCACGTGCAGGTGGGAAGCCAACGCTCATGTCAGAGCAGGGCTCAGTAAGCTGCGAACTGTGATGTGACTCACGTCTCTACTGCGTCGACGTTTTATGCAGTTAGACTTTAATGTGCAGTAATTGTTCAAGCTCTTCTAAAGAAAGCCAAAGTCTGACGTGTATAAGGGCAAGTTAAACACTGTTACGTAGACTTCCATTAGTGTGCTCAGAAAGAAGACACTGAACTCTTGAGTGAGTTTGGGAATATATGCCAACCTCTCCAAGCAGCTTCTAGTCCACTAGGCTCCTACCACAGAACACACGGTTCTTCGGCTACGCAGTTTTAAGACTAGAGGAATGCTCTTACATAAATAATTCACATTTAAGATTTTTAAAAATCCCATGTTTTTATTTTTAATGCAACTTCACAAGGTAAACCTGGCCAAATCCCTTTCCTTTGACTTTTCCTGAACCAACAGAAAAACAGACACTCACACAAAGGCAGTTAAGGACGACACATCACAGCGGCTCTCTTATGTCACATTTAATCATCCACTCAGCTTCTACTGCAAGCTGTCCTATCAGACCTGGTGACAAATGTTCAAAGTGTGCACTAACAAAAGAGCAAGCACAGCTTCTTTGTGTCTTCCCACGGTGAGGGAAGGCAGCCGAGCGCGGGAAGTGACCACATGAGCTCTTACCTTAAGGATGTCCCCCCTTTTGAAGCTCAGCTCATCGTCAGCAGTAGCTTTGAAGTCATATTTGGCGATGGCTTCCATTCTGAGCGCGCTCAGTGCTCAGCAGCCTGGAGCAGGGGGAAGGGAATCTTCCCTGCTGAGGAGCTCTGGGCTCAGCCTTCCCTCTTCTGGGGCTATTCTTGCACACTGGGACACACAATGCCACCCTGGATCAGAAGAGCGATGATTAAGAGAAGTGGCCAGATCGAAGGCAGCCCCGCCCTGCCAATTGGCCTACACTCCCAGCCCCCACGCCCCCTGGCTCCGCAGGGCTCAGCCCCCTCCTCCTCCCTTCCAGGCAACAGCTCTCCTTCCTCTTTTCAACCTCAGCCCTAGGCGACTGACAGGCCCAGCAGCCAATAGCAGCAGCTGCCTAAGCTATGCCAGAATACACTTCCTCTTCCTTCCCGCAGGGTGTAAACTCAGGAGCCGGCGAGAGCCTCCTTCAGTCAGTCTTAGCCTTTCCTCCAGCATTCCTTCACACATCTCCCGTACCCAAGGCAGTCCCTGAAGTCCATTTAAGGCAGACCCCTTGGACGTGGTTACACGGGCCACTCCCTCCCGTCCCTCACCCCCAGCTGGTGTCCTGAGAACCAGGATGCTCCCACTCCCTGTCAGAAGCCACGCAGGACTTGGGTCTCGAGTAGCTCTACTCTTTATTCTTATGAAGAGATGAGAGAGCACGCCTGGAACCCTTTGAATCCCACTGCCGGCGATACAATGAGCAGCAGCTTCATTCACGCCCAACTTGTCATCTGCTCACAGAGAAAGACAGCTCAGCACTCTGCTGCAGAGGGTGGTGGTGGAAATCCACTCTTGCACAAGATACCCAAGACTGGGGTCTGCCTAGTCCTTCAAATGGATGACCTGGGTTTAACATCCAGGAACAGCCTGCCTGTGCGTTATTTTACCCACCACAAGCACACTGCTGAAGTTCTCATTTATATTTAAAAAGAATCTGTTTCAGCAAATCTGAGCTGGCAGTTTTGGGTTTTTTGTTTGTTTGTTTGTTTTTGTGGTTTATTCTTTTTTGGAGAGGAGGGTGGGTTTCACAGTGTAGCTTCAGCTGGCCTGGAACTCCTTATAAGCACACCAGAGTGGTCTAGAATTTGAGGTGATCCTCCTGGTTGGCCCCTGGAGTGCTGGGACAAGTACGTGTATCAAGTCTCCCCTTCAAGTATCTTCTCTGGGCACAGGTAAATACAGGCTGGTGCCAGATGGTCAGACCCCAGCCTCATCCAGTTCCCTTCACACAACTGCTTCTCTCAGTCAAGGGAGTCCTATACTAAGGAGGCGGTAGGAGGACGACTCTGTCACTTCTCCCCAGTGTATCCAGTGACACTGAACTGGGACAGTGTGATCATGGGCTGGGGCATGACCTCGACCTCTGCATACCTAAGGGAAAATGAAGCCCCATTCTTGTTTGCAGACACAGCTCTCAAACAAACTAAACAAAGGTAGACAACAGGGCCCCGGCAGAATGGGAGCAGATTATTTATAGTGGCACCTTTCTTGGGTAATTAGCACCACATCAGCAGCTCATTTGAGGGGCATGGGTGACTATTATTGGGTTTTTCTAAAGTTAACATTTGAGGTATTAAGCATAACTGAAAATAGGCTAAGCAGCAAACCTGGGACTATTCAGAGTGGCTACATGAGTGTTGTCAAGGATAAAGAGATCACCTGGTAGGTAGTCCTTTAGCAAAGTCTGAAGGCTATCATCCCAATAAACCACACTATGGCTTGTTCTTCACGGTCATCCCTTAGCTATTCTATGTGGTGTCTCCTCTCAAGAGAAAAAAATGAAGAAAAAGTCCTAGCAAGTATATAAAGTATTAAATACAAAGGTGTACCCTAGTACACTTAAATTCCCAATATATTTTCTGTGGTTACTTTTGATATCTACAATTTTCTAAAAAATTCAAATATACCTGGGTGCTTTGAGTGATTGTGCATCTGGGCACCATGTGCATGCCTGGTGCCCTAGGAGACCAGAAGAGGCTGTTAGATCTCCTGGAGCAGAAATTAAAATTAAACATGTCCATAGGATGTCTTTCATAAATGCTGGGATCCACACACGGGTCTCCTAGAAGAACTAATGAGTGCTCTTAAACTCCTGCCATCTCTGCAGCCCTGACAGCTCACTGCTTTGATTTGTATTTCTTTTTTTTAAACTTGCAGTCACACATACATACATACATACACACACCGGAAAGAGAGTGTGTGTGATTTGCATGTACAATTTAATGCTCAGTGTATCTTAGAAGGTAGCTATTAACACATTTTTCTAGTCAGAAAACTGGGCCTTATTTAAAGGCTTAGTATTACAGGTGTAACAAATAGAATATTTGGATGAATGACATTTCTCCTGACTTCCCGCACCATGGACACTCAACATTCAGCTATGCTGGCCTAATTCCATGGAGAGAGGGAAAGAGGGGGTGAGGGGAGAGGGAGACAAAGACTGAGAATATGAAAATTAAAAAAACACACAAATAAAATCATAAACTCCTTTAGGGTACATTTCAGATATAACTCCTCTATCACTTCAACAATTAAAACTATTTTCCTTTAATCCCAGCACTTGGGAGGCAGAGGCAGGCGGATTTCTGAGTTTGAGGCCAGCCTGGTCTACAGAGTGAGTTCCAGGACAGCCAGGGCTACACAGAGAAACCCTGTCTCAAAAAACAAAAACAAAAACAAACTATTTTCTTAGACTTTACACATGTGATGCTTTCACTGGGCACTGTTAGTGTGCCCTGTCCATCTTCTTGGGGGAGCACAGCACTGTCAGCTATATATGAGCTGGAGGGACAGCTCACTGGGGAGTATGTGCTAAAACACTGGAACCCTGGCTCAGTCACCAGGGTGTGCGTGTGTGTGTGTGTGTGCGTGTGTGTAAATCATTGTACACATGCTTACCTTCAGATCTTCCTTTAATATTATTGTGTATAGCACAGGATTTTTGTTGCCATCTTTAATGGAAGACTGCAATTCCTTTGTTATGGATAATCTAATCCCTTCAGGTTGACTAAGTGAAATGCTAATTTTTATTTGCCACATACATGGAAGTAATCTCTGTGTGTTTGTACACATATACCCACTACATGTGGAGGTCAGAGGACAATTTTGGGGAGTCAGTTCTCAATTCCCACCAAGTAGGTTCTAGGACTAGAACTCAGATCACCAGGCTTGGCGGCAAGCACTCTTACTTGCTGAGCTATCTCAACAGCCTCTGCTTTGATTTTCTGCATGTGACTGATTTACTTAAAGTTTCACCTTTCACAAGTTTAGACATTCGAGGTTTGTTTTTTGAGACAAACTCTTACTGTGGTCCTGAACTGGTCGGTCCCCCAGTCTTATCCTCTCAGGTGCTAGGACTGCAGGTATAAACCAGTGCTTAGTGTTAAAAAAAAAAAAAACTACTCAGGACCTGCTGCAAATAAGTTGAATGTGGTGCCAGATACTGAAAACTACCTTGCCTTTGTGTTGAGAGATAGCATCTCTTGTAGCCCAGGCTGGCTTCCGACTCTATGTAGCACAGGATGACCTCCCTAGTGCTGGGATTACAGGCTTGTATCACCGCACCCAGTTAAACTAGTGCAGGAATCCAATCTAGGGCTCTTCAACACTTGGCAAACAGTCTGTACTAAGCCTCATCCCGAGCCTGATCATGTGCTTTCTTCTACCACTGTAGAGTTGTGCTGCAGGTGTCTGTGAAGGTTCTGACTGACATAAAATGCATGTCATTCTGCTACATGGTATTTTGACAATGACAGTTTTTGAGTTTTATTGATTCCTGTTTTTCAAAGACGATATAATCCTAGCTCTTTATCCACTTTGCGTAAAGCAACATAACACATGAATATATGCTGACGATTGTTCTTTCTACTAGTATATAACAAATTATTATTACTTTCTGTGCAGTACCCTCACTGTGTTTCCAGTAAGCAGGTATTATTTTTGTGATGGTTTAAATACGCTTGGCCTAGGAAGTAGCACTGTTAGGAGGTGTAGCCTTAGTAGAGTAGGTGTGGCCTTGTTGGAGAAAGTATTATCACTTTTGGGGGTGGGCCTTGAGACCCTTCTAGCCTCCTAGAAACCAGTCTTCTCCTATTTACCTTCAGAATAAGATGTAGAACTCTCAGCTCCTCCAGCTCCATGTCTGCCTGGACGCTGCCATGCTTCCCACCTTGATGATAATGGACTGAACCTCTGAACCCGTAAGCCAGCCCTAATTAAGACTGTCCTTTATAAAAGTTGCCTTGGTCATGGTGTCTCTTTACAGAAATGGAAACCTAACTAAGACAACTTTATATTGAGATCACAAACCAAAGGCCTTATAGATACTTGCTTGGTATAAGGCCCAGGTTTAACTATCTCTTTAGCATCTGGGAAAAAAAAAAAAAAAGTGAGGCCAGAGAAGCAACTTACATTTTCTAAATCCTACTAACACCTCAACTGGAAAACAAGGCCAACAGCACCTACCCAATAAACCGCCTTGACGATTAAGATTTTCAACTCTAAGTCTACATGTGACAGTAAAGCTACAACTAGTACCCGAAATCTATGAATTCAAAAGACCTCATGACAGATACATTAACAACCCTACTAGTTACAAACTGGGACTGAGCCTGGAGCTGTGGATGACACTCCTCAGAAAAGCACTTGTCTATCATACTGAAGGCCCTGAGTTCAAGATATGAAGGCATATGCCTGTAATCTCAGCAACAGAGAGGTCAGGCTCAGCCGAAGCTACACGGTAAGTTTGAGGGCGAGTGGTAAAGGATTCCATAGCATGCTCTATGCTCTAGGCTTCATGGCATCACAGCACCGGACAGTCAGACATGTTTTAAAGTTACATCACCCCACCTCACGTCTTACTACTACTTTACATACATAAGAACTAATTATGGGGCTGGAAATGTAGCCAGGTTGGTGGAATGCTTGCCTAGCATGCACAAGGCTCTGATTTTGATCCCCAGCATTATGTAAACAGGGTGTGGTGGTTTACATTTGCAATCCCCGAACTTCAGGAGGTAGAAGCAAAAGGATCAGAAATTCAGGGTCACACTCAACTACAGAATGAGGTGAAACTGGCCTGGTTATAGAAGACAAACTAATGGATAGGAAGACAGACAGACAGAGCCCCAAAACTGAGCACGGGCTTGAGGTATATAGCACAGTGGTATGGAGTTTACCTACTATGTGCAAAGTGCCAAGACCACTCCCTAGCACTGGAACGGATGGGAGCCACTGCTGCAGGAACTGGGTCCATGGCAGAACATGAGCTTGACCATCATGTACAGGTTGAATTCCTCCCAAGGGAGTGGAGGGGGCACTAAATCCAAGTTCTTTGTATATAAACCTATTTTTAAATCAGCCCATTCAGGGATTAATTTATTGTTGGGTGCCTACTTGTTGTGTAACAAAACTTTTCCTGGAGAGACACAACACACCCATCTACTCATCCCGGACAGGGAGCCCACCAAAGTCCAACTTGGCGAACCAATGACTTTTATTGGAGTGAGTTACAGGAATATGGATGAGGGGCTTGCTTTCAGGAACAGAAATAACTCAAAGACAGCTGCATCAACCAAATTCCACCCCAGATTGAGTGCCAGCTCACCAAAGCTGGGAAACCTGGAGCTCACAACACAGCCTGCAGGCAGCTCAACAGGTTGGAGAGTGTCTTTTCAAAGTGACTCTGGTCTATCCTAGCAGCTCAGCTGGTTTCTGCTTCTTCCATGCAGTTAGCCTGGTCTCGAATCTTCTTTGCAGTTTTGTTGGTCTGAGAGTCTTCTTCACAACTTGGAGGGACTTGGCTTTCACTGCTTAGTCTGGCAGGGAGGGGCCTAGTGAATCTGGTCAGTTTTAGGGACTTCCTGCAGCTATTTTGAGTTGTTTCATTCACATTATGCAGTTTTGCTGGAGTTTTGCCACGACCTGTTACAGGGTCCCCTTCCAAGTGTGGCAGCAGAAGCACTGGGGTGCGGCTGAAGCAGGATGGCTCAAAGTGAAACCAGGGCTAAGTATGTTGGTGTATACCTTCAATCCCAGCACTTGGAAAACAGAGACAGGAGAATCTCTGTGAGTTTAAAGCCAGCAGTTAGTCTACAGATAGAGTTCTAGGAAAGCCAGGACTAAACAGAGAGACCCTGTCCCTGTTTCAAAATAAATCAATAGAGAAATAATTTGAGACCAACCAGGACAATATATCAAGACCTTATCTCAAAAAAATTGGATAAAAATTTATTAATTGGCAGGTTATGTTTATACATACAAATTTTAAGAATCACTGCTAAAATGAAGAAGCACTAAGCAAATTTTAAAATTTTCATTCCAGACAATGCACTATGTCTGAACAAAACGAAAAATGATGTATACTAGACTTCCTGCAACTTAGAGGAAAATCAACTTTGACAAACACAAAACAATAAAATCTCAATAGCCATGGCCAAAGGTGTGGAGCTCCTCTGAGTTCAGCAGGTAACTACCACTAAGTGCCTGTCGGGGGAGTGGCAGCTCTGTTTTGCTGTCTCCTACGGCTAACACCCCATAATTCTCCATGAGGGCTGCTGTATTCTTGCGACATAATGGAAATCATGAAAAACCCCTTAGTACCACAGTAAGCACTGCCTAAATCCAACTCTTGAGCTAGAGAGAATAATAGCTCAGGCTGTTAAAGAGCACTGGCTGCTCTTCCAGAGGACCTGGGTTCAATTCCCGACACTCATATGGCTGTTCACAATCCTCTGTAACTCCTGTACAAGGGTATTTGTCCTCCTTTCGCCTCTGAGGGCACCAGACATGCACATGGTGCATATATATGTATATATGCAAGCAAAATACACAGAAGCATGTAAAAAAAATTAAAAATCATTTTTAAAAGCCTGATTAGGACTAAATCATTAGTTAGGATAGATAGGTAGGCTTTAATTCACAAATATCCAAAGTTCTCTTCCCTTATATTTCAAGCTATACTACTTCACAAACTCCATGGATGATTTCTCATTTAACAATGGCTAACCTCACTAAAAACTTAGAAACTGACTCAATCTCTCTTACTAACAGTGAAGAGAAACAGGAGGGAGAAAGAAGGAAAATACTAGGCACAAAAGCATGGCCTGTGAGGAAAAACACCAAAATACAAATAACGCAAGCAAACAGGCAAAATCCACTTGTGATCTAGTGGCACTACCGATTACTTAGGAAAGAATCCAGTCCTTTTGCGATTCCTAGTTCCCAGGGGAAGATCTTAACCCCCCCTCCACCATCCCTACTACCCCTTTGGCTCCCTAGTAGTCCTTCTGGCTGGCTGAATACATTGGATGTTTAAAAGGAATGCAAACAGGGAAGGTATCTCTCCCCCAAAAGAAAAGGGGATCTTAGAACGACGGAGAAAATGAACAGTGCCAAAACCGGCAGAAACTTCGAAAACTATAGCGGGGGAACAGCAAGAAGGGGAAGTAGATTATTTTTTAAAAGGGGGTGGAGGGACCAATGACTGGCGTCCCAAATGCATTTCGTGTCCCTAGTACAGTGGAACGGAGACTGAGAAAGCAAAAACTGCAGAGCAAAGTGAAAGAGAGGTGAAGAAGTCAAAAGAAAGCCAATTTCTCTAGCTTCTTTTTTAATGTCAACAGCACCAAAAGATGACGTTGAAAAGCGCTTCGGCTTCCCGGCAGACTGCACTGCTATAGCTTTTGAAAACAGCCTAAAATCACTTTCTTACAAACCCACACGACCTAAGAGCGTTGCAAACGGGCATGAACCAGCGGGGCTCTCTCCCCCAATATCCTCCCTTCTAGCATTTCCCATCAGCTTCTGCTGCTCCCTCCCCCCCCCCAAAAAAAAACAGGTATTTTTCTCTAGTCCATCTAAAAAAAGAAGCGCCCAACTCTCACAAAGACCCGTCGACGGGTCCGGGTAACAACCATTCTAAGTCACGGTGGATTCCCGCACACAATTCGACCGCAAGATGCCAAGAGACGGTGACGTGGTTGCCTTGCGGGTCAAAGGAGCATCAATCACCACGTTAGCAGCCGGCACCGAATCCCCCGCCTCCCGGGCTCAGTCAGCCTGACTCAGAGCAGCACCCTGAGCCTCTCGGCTGCTCCGGGCTCCTCGGCACCCAGCCGGACGGCCGCCGCACCAGATCTCACCGGCGAGCCGGGTCTCTGCCCCGAGCGGGAGGAAGACCGGCACCAGGAAGGAAGCGCCCCAAAAGGGGAAACGAGGAGACGGCTGCGCAGCCGCTGCGCTCGGGTCCCAGCCTTCTCTAACCCTCGAGCGGCCCTCCCCGGCAGCCCCGAATAGACCGGGCCCGAGCTGCCCGCCGCGGCGCGGGGACGATGGAGCTCCCGCTCCCTTCCCGCCCGCTCTCTTGCACTCACCGTGACGCGCCGTCCGCTCTGTCAACGGCCCGGCCCGCCCTGCGCTGGCGCCCGCGGCCGCCAACCTCGCAGCTATTCCCCGAGTGCGGCGCCCGCTGCCCCGACCGCCGTCCCCGCCGCAGCCTCGCTCGCACCGCCCCGCCGCCGCCGCCGCCCGATCGCAGAAGCAGCAGAGCAGCCTAGCTTCCGCTCCTCGCCAGGGTCCCGCGAGAACTTCCCCACGCGGCCCCGCCCCGCCGCGCCCCGCCCCCGCGAGACTTCCCCCGGCGGAAAAGGCCCAGAGCGCAAGCGCTCCTCCTCCGCTCCGCCCGGCAGGTAGCCTGGAGGGGGGGCTTCGCGCATGCGTCAGTTCTTCCCGCAGCAGGTGGCATGGGTTCGGCTCCGCCCCTGGGCCGTTGTAACCCTTTGCGTGCCGAAGCACGCGAATTACAGCTCTGCTCTAGAGGAATAGCGCTTTCCACACACGAATCACGTTCTTTCTACCCGAGCAAAGCAAAGGGGCCTCGAGAAGGCGGGGAGAGATTTCAGGATGGCTCAATCCAAATTTGAGGACCAGTTCTAGAGATGTTTGGGAATCTGGTTCGTACGACCTGCAGTGTTCATGAATTGTTTGATTAATCTGGTCACCGAGTGAACCACATACCTAGTGTAGGTAAGTAAGCACTGTGCTGGGTAAAGATGAAACTATGAACAGAAATCCTGGCCTTCCAGCGGTTAAATTGAGAAAAGCAGTGGAAGAGTAACCAAGTTATGTCTTGGACTGGAGAGACCTCTCAGAGGTTTAAAAACAAAAAAACAAACAAAAAAAACCTGCTTGCTGCCCTTCCAGAGGACCTGAATTCGGTTCCCAGCACCCACATCACATCTGTCTGTAACCCCAGCTCCAGGAGATGTAGTGCCTTTGGCCTCTGATAGCACCAGCATTCACCTGCACACACCCTCATGCAGACACACACACGCACACACACACACACACGCACACACAACTATAACACTTACACATAGCTCTTTGGGGGATTGCTGAGGAAGCCAAAAAGATGGAGAAAGACTTGTTCTGTTCCTCTGCCCACTGCATAAAAGACTTAAACAAAGAAGGTGATTTGGAGCTGAGTACTGGAGGGTGAGTAGGAGTTCCACAGCCCAGGAGCCAGGGTAAGCACATAGCCGGCAAACGGAATGGCACAGAACAGAGGGATGGATGGAGGCGTGAGAAAGTCGTGTTCTGTGATATGCAAAGTACATAGATTCCTATGCAGGGCTGCAGGCTATGGGGGAGTGGTAGATGAGGCTTGGAGAAGTACCTCTCAGTTCCAAAAGCTCTTTCCAATTACAGGAGAGCACGAACACAACCAATGTTGATGTGTTCTCTAGAAGCCAACAAAATTATATTATATTATATTATATTATATTATATTATATTATATTATAT